AAGCTAAACTATTAATGCTACAAACCTAACAACAAGACTCAGTGTGAATTATTTACCTTTTAAAAATATTTTTAAAAGCTAAAAGGAAAAACAAGGTTAGAAGCTACCGAAGGTGTGGGGACTATGCCATGTTTTCAGCAAGTTTATGCAAGATTATCATCAGTCAGAAAAAGTTAGATAGTGCATCCAATGCACTGAATACCTGACTCTTTGGAAATCATGTTCACCTGAAGAAACAATGAAGTATATGAACTTTTCAGAGCGATGGCTATCTATGATTATCTCCTCATGAGAAAGTGTGAATGTGTGTCTAGGCACAATTCCTTATAGTAAGGAATAAGTCAGCTATCTGCTATTTAGATCTGAGATCTAAAAAAATTTCTAAGAACAGTGTCAAAAATTTATCAGCAAACTGAATACTCAAAATACAGCCGAGCTTGTTTGATTACAGTATGGCTTACTTTATCTAATGAAAAGACTGATTAATGTAAACTGTAGGACAGATCTTGTAGGACCCTAATAACAAGGAGATATTGTAACAATCTGAAAATCTAAGTTACATAATTGAAGCTTAGTCTTTGCTATCCTGAGAGTCTCAAAGTCTGAGTAAGATAGCCTTATCTGGATACCGTGGTAGTAGTGATTAGAATGCAATACTGGGGATCAACCCTGACAGAGCTCAAGGTTGACTCAGCCTTCCAAGGTCTGTAAAATGAGGACCCAGATTGTTTGTTTGGGGGCAGTATGCTGACATTGTAAACCGCTCAGAGACCATCATAAAGTACTGTGCTGAAAAGCACCACAAGGCAGATGTAGGTCCAAGTGCCATTGCTATTGCTAGGAAGGTGTCAAGATGCTGGGGGAAAAAAGAAGTTAAACCGTATTTCAGATGTTATGGAATCAGACTGCTGCTAAAAACAAAAAGCCTCAATCAGTTCCACCTGATTTCTTAGGAAAATACAATAGCATAATTGCATATATGACAATCAAAAAAAAGGGGGAAGTTTGGTTCGCATTGGTTTACAGACTGCAGGCAGTTTGCACAGCATGTCAAGTTTTATGTTCTAAACTAGGTTTGGATGTGTGAAGAGCTTTAAGGTCACTTTAATCCCCTTCCAAAACTGGAAAAGGGAAGATTTTTTTTAAAAAAATCTATGCATTCTGCAGGTCACGGAAGGGATATCATGTTTTCCAATCCTGACTTATACAATATGTATGTCATAAATAGTGCCAGAAATATTCTGACCCAAACAGGAAAAAATGGTATGTTTGAATATATGAACATATATATGAATATATGAGAAACCTTGCAAAATAGAAAGTGTTCCTGGGATATGAATATATTCATGTACGTAAACAGGGAAGGACACAGAATGTAGCACAGCTGTATATGTATGCTTCAAAAATATACAGAGCCCAAACCTAAAAGCAAATTTCTTTAAGATAAAGAAAAAGCCTACGTACCATGTTCCCAGACCTGTGCAATATTCCCATAACCCATTATAAGTTGAGAGAAAATGAACCAGTTACAAAAATCCTATAAACCTGGGTACAATCTTCCTCCCACATTATAAATGGTCCCAAATAAATCATGACATTTGTAAATACTGCACGCTGACTATACAACAGCTATTTATAATTCTAGCCAAAGTGGTGTCATGGACCTGGTGCCCATTGTAAATTATATTGCTATCTAATTTAAAAATTTCAGTGCCACTCAGAGTTACTATATCAATGAGATGGGCAGCATAAGAAATTTAGTAATAAAATAAAGTGAAATCTGCAGGGGAAGCCCAATGTGATCATATTTAACTTCAAAAACAGCGATCTCAAAATAGGTATATTAGTTTAAACATAAGTAAAAGCAGACTTACTGCATGGTGTTTCTAGATCTCTGAAAGAAAAGGTTACTTACAATATAATGAATGCAAACTCAGCTACGAGATGCAAATAGATTTGAGAGGATGTCACTGTGGTTAATGAACAGTCATGAGACAAAAAAGGCTTTCTTTAAAAAGTGGAAGTCTAAAATTAAGAGGAACAAAAAGAATCCAATGCCAACGAAAGCAAATTTGACTTTTTAATAAAGTAGTTAAAAAATTAAAGCAATTTGGAAAGCCTATGTAGGACCTTCAGCAAAGTGCTGCAGAATGGAATGTTCACATTCAGAATTTTACTCATCCAATGTAACAACCCTCTCAGTTTCCTGTTTCTTTCTGACTGATACACATTCTACAAGCCTGATTGGCATGTTCAGTCATTATTCATTTGGGGGGGGGAGGGATAACCCTTTCAGTTTTTTTGTGTTCCACAAATCTTCAATACATCCTACCTTTTTCTTTTTCGTCCTCCATTTCTTAGCAGTTTTCTTCCGTGGACAATATGAGCCTGTCTAATGCTCTGAGCAAGTAGCTTGCCTAAATGCCTCTGTACTTCCTGATTTGATCTGTAGTCCTTCCTCTTTTTATTCTTTCCTGGGACTCACACATGTAACCCTTTCTAATGCTGTATGGGGAGAGGTTTTACCATTTGCTTTCTCAATGTTTTTTCTAATTCTGCAAATATTAAAATAATTTAGAGCAAATAGTAACAAAACATGCATTTTTCCAGTTTGGCATTAATAATCAGCAAGCAAATCCATCAAAAGTAGAGGGAGAAGAATCAGAATAGCTACACAATTAGATTACAAGATTAAAAAGAATACTAAGCAAAATAAAGAGCAGCATTTGCCATAATTGCAGAAAATGCAGTCAGCAAAGCCTTATTTTCTAAAAGAATTATATCAAACAGATGCAACAGAATTATGTTTAGATTTAATAGACGTACTAAAAACTTAAAAATCTATAACTTTAGATGGCATATTGTAGTTAAACATGATCAAACTACAGTATTTTAGGGAAAATCCAGCTTCCAATATATACCAGTTATAAAATTTCAAATGGATGATTATTTTTCAACCTAGCCTACCTTCTTGCAGAGTGGTTACCAAGATAAAATATGGGCAGGAAACCTGCCTCCACCTTGGATGAAAATTGGGGAAGAAATGTCATAATGCAATGTAGTTGCTATAATCAACCATTATTCAAAAGGTAATTACTTTTTTCTTTTTATAAAAATATATAATAGATCCAGAAACTGTTTAAGATAAATCGATTGAAATCAAAATCAAAGGCTGAATTAAATACTTCAAAACAGCACTTTGCTGAGCAAGAATCAGTGTAACTTCTAACATATTGCCTTAAAAACCTTTTAAAATTCAATTAGTTTTAGAAAACATGTAAAGTGGCCAATTACTATACTTTTGTACAAATGCCATGAAAAATTTCCCAAAAGCTTCTATAAAATATGTGAGAAGAGAATAAATCTTATCAAAAATGGTTTAAGCAGGAAGTTGAGGCAATAAATGGCTAGTATGCATTAGTCTCCCAAAGAACTGTTACATGTTTTAAACAGGCTAGAGAACAAGGTAACAGATAAAATTTGTAGAAGTTGAATTATTTCACCTAATGAAATCTTCCCATTTGTATACCTTCGAACTGATGAGCAGGCATGAAAATGGGAAAAGAGATTCAAAACATTTATAAAATCCTATCTTCCAATAAGATAGAAAACCAGCTTGGTGAGAAATAAATCAAAGCTAGATATAAAAAAAAATAGGATAATGGTGGAGAGCTCAAAAGAAGTTAAATCATTCTGCAACAGCAGTAGGAACTGCTGATGACAGGAGTAACTGTAAATTTTTCGCAAAATGATGAATATGGAGAAAGCTAAGGGGCACTTTCTGTTGTTTTTAGAAAACTAGAATTTAAGGTCACACAACGAATTGCCACAAGCAAAATGCTTCACAAAATGCGTAACTTGGGGAATTCACAGTTCTACTACCAAGAGTGTGAAGCGGGGATTAACTAAGCAAATTCACAGCGAAGATATTTTGGAGGGGGGGGTTTCCCCCTTAAAATAAAGGAGAGCGTCCATGTTCAGGAATTCATGCTGGATACTGTTTGCATATTTGGGACGGGAGTAGTGGAAAAGAGATGCAACTTGAATAGCTTCAAGTTCTGCTGATTTGTTTCCTAAATGCTTCCGAATGCCCCCACCCCACCCTCCAATTGCTAATACTCTGATTACTGCAGTGGAGGAATCCTTCCTCTGATTCATCAGAGTTCCTTCCATGGTTTTTCAGAACAACTCCTCCCCTCTCCCGCCCCAGAAATGCACACATCTCTTATTTTGAATTCACAATATCAGGTCAAAAATGTAACTGGGAGGGTGCCAAATTACATTCATTTACGTAATTCTGGAGTTTTTTTAAGTTGAAAACACAAGATTCCTAATGAAATCGGGGATTTGGGGGGGGAGGGGTTGGAATCCCTTAAGGGCAGGTAGGGATGGGTGCTTATTTCATTGAAACGAATAAGAAAAAACGATGGTAAAATTAATTGGAAGTTTATTGTTTTATTGTTTCAAAACACCGTCAAAAGAAAGGAACAGCTATGAGGAGAGGGGGGTGGAAAGGGAGGGGAATGGAAGAAAAGGGGAGGGCAAAAGATAAACGGATTTAACAGGGAAAAAATGGGAAGGGAGGGGGAAAAACGCGATATACATGATGCCCGTTTTATAAAAAGCCTGCACTGGTTTTCGGAGGAGCCGTAGCAGCATGCAGCCCGACCTAACACGTAACGCCTTATTCTGAATACCCCTCAGAAAGCCTTCCATCCAAACGCATATGCCTCCGTTCGAGACCGGAGATTTTTCTCCTCATCTTCAACCGTCTTTTCACGGGAACTCTTCTTTTCCAGAGGGGGGGGGGGAAGACCGCCACTCCCCTCGGGCAAAAAGGCCTCATCGACCCGCCGCCACCACCACCACTAACCCCCTCCCCCGTGTGTCAAGGCCTTCTCTCGTCGCTTCAGACGGGGACGTGCACATTCAAACTCCCCCCGTCCCTCCCGAGGGACACCCCCAGATCCAGCCCTCAACCCTTCCCTCCGCGGCGGTACCGGAGCTGCGGCTCATGCGCTTCTCCCAGCCCGCGGGGAGCTTCTCCTCCTCCGCCATCTTTCCTCCTCTCACGGCACAAGAAAGCGCAGAGCCGGCCACGCCCACTCTCCCTGGCAACGCCACCACCGCGCGCGCGCTCAATAAGCACCACGCGCCGGCCTTTCTCGCGACAACTAAGCGCTTTCTCCCCGCCATTGACCGCGCTGGCGGGAAAGCCTCGTTCCTATTGGCGGGTTTTGTGAAAAAGAAGAAAAAAAGAAAGAAAGAAAAAAAAGAAGGCGATGGAATCCCGCTCGGAGAAAGCCTATCTAACCTGTCCAACATCTGAGCCTCGTTGAAACGATTGGTAAAAGCACCCAACGGTGCTTTTTCAAGAGGCAACTCGGACTTTCTGGTTATTCTCTGAAGACGTTTCGCTTCTCATGCAAGAAGCTTCTTCAGCTCACATTTTTTCAACATAGACCACCCTGGCCTTGAATGGCTGGGTGGACTGGACATTAACATTTGAACCGCTATAAGTCCATGTATTTGCCACACGCTAAATAAATAAACCTCAGGAAGCTTCCTGGATGAGAAGCGAAACGTCTTCAAGGAACATCCAGAAAGTCCAATTGCCTCTTGAAAAAGCACCTTTGGGACAACCATGACCTGGATGGCTGAGAATCTCCATAAACTATTGGCAGAAGAGAGATGGTGAAGGTGGAGGCTGCTGTGGAAGGTTTGAAAGGAGGATGAATCTGGGCAAAGGCTTTAAAAGGCTAGGCTCTTTTGAAGCATGAGGCACAAGGATGGAAAAAAATTTAATATCCACAAATTGGATAGCATTCTCTAAATTGGTGACTCCTGCACCATTTTGAATTGCATCTTCAAAAATCTCCAGTCTTTAGCTGGAAACTGAGAGTTTGAGCTCAAGGAAAATTTGCCTATAATGAAATCAAATTACCATTGAGTCAATACCAGCAGAGATGCAGGCAGATAAGTTGCTCACTTCTCCAATTCCAAGATTAGTGACTGTTTTGAAATTCAATCTGCAAACTGTAAACGTGCTAAACTTAAGTGCTGTAAGAGGATAGTATTAGTCTTATTTGAGCCTCCTCACTATTTCCAGTCTTGGCGTATGGGTCCTCCGTGAGCTGCATAACACAGTCCTGCCAGGTTTTTATTATTACATTTATAGGCTATTTTCTTTCATTGTGGCTCAACCTGCAGTACAATTGCCAATGTAAATTTCTTGGGTAAATTTTTAATGTCAGAGACCCATTTACAGTCTAGCAAAGATCATTTTCAGCCCTTCAACCGTGAAATTACAGGTAGTGCTTACAACAGTTCATTTAGTTTAGAAATTACAGGTAGTGCTTACAACAGTTCATTTAATTACAGGTAGTACAACAGTTCATTTAGTGACCAAAGTTGCAAATTCACTCAAAAAAGTAACTTCTGATAGTTTTCACACACCATTACAACATTCAAACTTTCTGTTGACAGCCAGCTGCCTGCAATTTGGCAGATCGAATCCCACCCAAGGTTGACTCAGCCTTCCATCCTTCTGAGGGGTAAAAGCAGGGCCCAGATTGTTGGGGGCAATATGCTGACTCTGTAAACCGCTTAGAGAGAGCTGTAAAGTACTATATAGTGGTATATAGGTGCTATTGCTATTCTCAGTGTCATGTGATCAAAATTCAGACGCTTACAACTGACTCATGATAGTGTCCCAAGGTCACATGATCACCTTTTGCAACCTTCTAACAAGCAAAGTCAACGGGGAATCCTGATTCGTTTAACAACCGTGTTACTAATTTAACAAGTGCAGTGACTCACTTAACATTTGGTAAGGAAGGTCAAAATGGGGTAAAATTCATTTAGTTTTAATTTGCTTTGTTGTCATGCACCTCATACAACGAAATTAAATGCCATCTTCAGTGTACATTATACATAAAAAAATAGCAACAGAAATTTTGGGCTCAATTGTGGCAATAAATCAAGGACTACCTGTACATGGAAGTGCTTGAAGCTGAAGTCTCTATTCTCACTTGTGACAAGCGCCAGAAGATTCAGTCTCCCATTGTAACAAATGCAATCTCTCAACCTCTCCCACACATGGGCTTGAAGTTGGACCACATAAAAGTGAGTACATTGTTGCACATGCTTAGGATACTTGGTCACTTTGAGCAGGGTTGTCTCAAGAAACAGGGTTGGGTTTGGGTGGAGGAACGCAAGAGACCTGACATGGGAGACACAAAGAATGACCAGCAACTGAGTGTCGGTATGCTAGAATAATTGCTTGTGCAGTTGGGTAATATAACATTGTTTGCCTAAATCCAGTATGGCATAGTCCAGTGGTCTTAAACTAAAATCACAGGTGCCCTAGGGGGACAAAATAATTTTCCCAAGGGCTGCAATATTGAAGTGTTAAGTACTTGACACAAAAGTCTTTGATAAGTAAAATTTTATGATATGCAATTGATGTTAAAAATATTCCAAACTACAGCTACTCTTGCCCAATAGCAATCATGTTATGTTTGCTCTGTGTTAGTCCTTTGCATACTTCATTGTATCTTCTCTTCCTCTGGCTTAGCATTATGGTAGAATAAAGGCAGCAGTTTCCTTTATCAGATTTCAGAGAGTGCAAGAAGGGAGAACTAGAATTAGAATAAGAATAGAATAGAACAGAACAGAATAGAATTCCTTATTGGCCAAGTGTGATTAGACACACAAGAAATTTGTCTTGGTGCAAATGCTCTCAGTGTACATTTAAAAAAAAGATACGTTCAACAAGAGTCAAGAATCATAAGGTACAACACTTAATAATAGTCATAGGGTACAATAAGCAATCAAATCATACTAGGAAACAGTCAATATAAATCGTAAGGATACAAGCGACAAAGTTACAGTCATACAGTCACAAGTGGGAGGGGATGGGTGATAAAGATAAATCTGGAAATCTGTGCACATTTGTTTAGCCCCCATTCTGCATTCCAGGTGCATTTGATACCAAAAGAAAACTGTTCTCACAAAAAGGCAGGTTATTGATTGATTATGTGCCATCAAGTCATTTTTGACTCCTGATGATCATGTAAGTATACTTCATGGTGATCTATCCCTAACTCAAATTTTCCACTGGTGCTTTCACTACCACTACAAGGGAGTCCATTTTGTTGCTGGTCGTCCTCTTTCCTTTCACCTTTTCTGCCATTAGAGCCTTTTCTAGAGAGCTGTGTTTTCACATATTGTGTCCAAAATAGGATAATTTGAGCCTAGTCACTTGTGCTTAAGGGAGAACACAGTGATGAATCACTGAATTGATTTGTTTGATGATCCATTATAGGTAGTTCTCAACTTGCCACAATTGAGCCCCAAATTTATGTTGCTAAGTGAGAAATTTGTTAAGTGAGTTTTGCCCCATTTTATGACTTTTCTTGCCACATTTGTTAAGTGCATCACTGCAGTTGTTAAATTAGTAATCCAGTTGCTAAGTGACTCTGGTTTCCCCATTGCCTCTGCTTGTCAGAAGGTTGCAAAAGATGATCACATGACCCAGCAACCATGCAACTGCGAGTCAGTTGTCAAGCATCTGAATGCAAATCACATAAACATGGGGATGCTACAACGGTCGTAAGTCTGAAAAATGGTCATAAGTCTCTTTTTTTCAATGCCGCTGTAAATTTGGTCACTAAGTAAACTGTTGTAAGTTGAGGACTACCTGTAATTTGTTTTCTTGTCTGTCCACCATATATTTAGGAGTCTTCTCCAACACCAAAGTTCAAAGGTGTCAGTACTCTTCTTCTCCTGCTTCTTCAAAGTCCAATTTTTGCTTCCATAAGGTGTATCTCTAAAAGCCTCGGTGGCACAGTGGTTGGAGTGCAGTACTGCAGGCTACTTCAGCTGCCTGAAATTTAGCCGTTCAAATCCCACCAGGCTCCAGGTTGACTCAGCCTTCCATCCTTCCGAGGTGAGTAAAATGAGGATCCAGATTGTTGGGGGTAATAGCTGACTCTGTAAACTGCTTAGAGAGGGCTGTAAAGCACTATAAAGCGGTATTTAAGTGCTATTGCTATCACAGGGAATACCATAGCTTGCACCATTCTCATGTTTATACTTATAGATACATCACAGTATTTGAATATCTTTTCCAAGACTTTCACACCTACTCTACCAAGTATTATTCTGTAGCATTTTTTGTGCTTGTTCCTTCACTGTTGATAATTGAGCCTAAAAGGCAGAAAGTATCCACCATTTCAGTATCTTCATGCTAATAAGGTTTAGAGCAGTGTAGATGAGATTCTTTCTATATAGTGTAAGCAAATAAAGACCTGAACTTTGGCTGGATTGTTCTATGTCAATTCTCGGGCTGGGTCTGACGTTTTCCAACTACCTACAATTTGTTAGTCAAAAAGGATACCAACACTCCTTATTTTTTTGCCACTATAGGTACAAATTTCTTCTATTTTTATTATAACATTTTATAAATTACAGCAGATTCCAGGATGTTAGTAAAAGAGTGACAACTGCTAATGAGGTGTAAATAGGATTGGAAACTTAACTGGAAGCTAAGGAAGGGAACATTGTATTCTGAACAAGCTCTTTACTAAGGAATGTAATTGATTACACTTTTCTGCACAACTCCATATATTACTATGATGAATCGGAATTCTAAATTATTTTACTGCTGTCAATAATAACTCTTACCAATAAATACGCATTAAAATGTAGAACTATATTTCTGTAGAAAAGAAAATACTCATAGCCTTTGTCAGGCTTAATTATAAATCTTTTTATTTTTGTGGGATTTAAAGGGCAAACTGTAGTCTTTTGTCCCTAAAATGTAAGTATACTGGTACTGATTATTAACACCAGGATAGAGGGGGAGAAGTGTTCTATAGGCTAAAAAATGGATCTGGACTGGGACTGCCAAAGTAGCTTGTTCCTAGAAGAGGCTCACAAAAAAAATTACTTGCTTGAATACTTGAAATATAGATTCCATCTATACTTGTCATTTTGCATGGCCTAGAAGGCTTTTCTATCACAGTGTGTGCCCTCAGGAACATCGTGCCCTTTCAAGATCCAGTTTGGCCTCAACACTGCTGGCATTTCATAAAAACTTTTAAAACATTGCTATGGGGTTGGAAGAT